CTTATTTTAAAATCCCCGCCCCCAGTTTTTATAGACCTTGTACATTACCGTATTAGTGAATCATTTCAAGACATGAATTCCAAAGGTAACTAGCTTCCAGGAATTTAACTTACAAATATTTGTGCTATACTAATATGCACAAAATATTGTACCTAGTAGGATATTCACTGCAGTGTTAGCACTAGCAGAGGACTGGAGAAAGCCTAAATATCCACCAAGAGGGATGATTAAATAATGTTTGTCATTATTACATTGTGAATCTTTTTATGTACATACATTATTAACCACATGCATTTTTCCTAACAAAACAATTCTTTTTAAAAGTAATCAAATATCCTTGATTCCATTCACAAATTGACAGTTTTTCAGTATTGGTTTGTTTTCAATCTATTTCAGCCTCAAAATTTCTCCTATAACTTGAAAGATGACTTGAGTTTTCCTACTTCATTCACGCACTCCTTCATTCATACATTTTTATTAAAAGGTCACTTCATGAACTTGAGAATTTTAAATGTGTTGCTAAGCCACTTGATTCAAAAACTCTAAGCCTGCATAGTCCCATAGGACAACTACCAGATCAAGAAATGTCCTAAAATGTTTGAATGCTGACATTTTCTAAACATCTACCAAATAGCTAGTAAAAGCACAGAAGACATTATTACAGTCCAGCAATTCTAAAACAGCTGTCCTAAAAGAAAAAAATGCTTAATAATTCAAAAACATCTACCTTTGTTTCTTATCAACCTATCAAATGTATAGATTATCTTTAAAAGCAGCATATTTCTTAAAAAAAAAAAAAAAAAAGCACTAGACCTAGTTAGTGCTATTGAAATATCTGCAGTTAATCACTTGTTTCATACATAACTGTATTTCAGGCTTTCAAAACAATTACTGAGGGCCTCCCCGGTGGCGCAGTGGTTGAGCGCTGGGTTGCGAAGCTGCCCGCAGCCTCTGCAGCGCCAGTTCGATCCCCGGCTGCTCCCCGGCCACCAGAGGAGGGTCCCACATGGCGCGCAGACCTCTCCTGCCGCCCGCTGCTCCCCTCAGCAGTGTACTTCGGTCCTTCTGCCTGCTCTGCCACCCGCTCTGGCTCTGGTGAATTCTCTCACCCTCCCGCGCTTCTGACTGTACCCAGTGCATGTATAAACAAAACAAACAAATAAATAAATAAAAACATGCCTCTATAAAAATTAAAAAAAAAATTTACAAAACAATTACTGAAACACAGCTTTTGAGGAAAAGTAAATAAAACTATTAAGAATTTTGATTTGCTTTTAAGATCAGTGAAACATGTTGACCAATTTAGGGATTGTTTTTGATTTAATAAAAATTTTGAGTATATTTTATGCACAACTCTATACAAAGCATTGGAAATAAAATGACATCCCATTTGTAGCTAATAATTATGGGCAGACTAATATCAATGATAGTGATATTACACACATAAGAGAGGCAAAAGCACAGTTAACAAGTATACTGGGTGAATAAGGAAAGGCTTCCGAAGAAAAGCTACTTCACTTTGATGTTGAACCATGTGCAGGGAGCTTGCCAGTTTTATAGGGATGAGAAGAGCAGAGGAATGACAGGACAATACCACTCTAGGTTAAATGTACAAAAGAGAAAAATGAGATAACAAAAGAATTTAGAAAGTTCTAGAAAATATGAGTTCAATGCTACAGAAGTATATGAGCTCAGTGGGGGTGGGGATGGGAGAAAGCTTGTAGGAGGTGTAAAGACTCTAGAGACTTAGAAACTTAAGTTTTGGATTGTAATGCAACTTGCCTTATATGCCAAACTAAGGAATTGAGATCAGATCTGACTATATGAGAATGTAGAGAAAATGTAGTTTTCCAAGAAGAGATATGATATGGTATGACACTGGCAACAGCTTGGATCTTGGATTTAATGATGAAAGACTAATGGCAGAGACTAATGCGGCTACCGGGCAAATCAGTGAGATGATGGCCAAAATTGACAGTGAGGATGAAGAGAAATCAGCTGAAAAGCAGCAGCCTCATGTTGTAAAATTTACAGGCCTGCACTCCTACTTTATAAAAATGGCCCTCAAATATGGTATTTTCCCTTCTTCATACTTTTCTGCTATAGATATTCTTTTACATGGAAAGTTTACATCGTAAGATAAGCAATATGGCCTTTTTTTTTTTCTTTGAAGCACAAGTTTATTCTAAAATTCAGACAAGAACTGACACATAAACAACTTTTGTATAAAATAACCCAAATACGGCCCTTGTAACATGTTTTCCCCATTGTATTAGGAAGAAAAATGCATTAGAAAATCCAAGGACTCGGTCAAGAAATATGAATTACAGGTTTGACTTTGTTTTTTGAGGGTTTATTTAGTTTTTTTAAAGATTTATTTTTATTTATTTATACAAGCACTGGGTACAGTCAGAAGCGCGGGAGGGTGAGAGATTTCACCAGAGCCAGAGCGGGGAGCAGAGCAGGTAGAAGGACCGAAGTACACACTGCTGAGGAGAGCAGCGGGCCACAGTAGAGGTCTATGCGCCATGTGGGACCCTCCTCCGGTGCCCGGGGAGCAGCCAGGGATCGAACCGGTGCTGCAGAGGCTGTGGGCAGCTTTGCAACCCAGTGCTCAACCGCTGCACTGCCGGGGAGGCCCTAGGTTTGACTTTGATGGGAAGCTATGGACATGACAATCTCTCAAGGATTTGGTTTTCTCATTTATAAGAGGAAATTAAACTAGATAATTTAAAACTCCTGAAAGTTATAAAATGCTATGATCACACTGATACATCTTTAATGTATCATCTATTTCAACATTCTAAATGAGAAAAATCCATCAAAAATAGGCAGAGACTTTATCCATTTACCTTTATGTATCTTCTACATGTACCTACTACATTTGTGAAGGAGTTCATGACATACATTAAGACAAACAGTCACCAACTACACATATAGAACCCTAAGGCAAAACTGAAACTCTGCAAGATGTCACTGTCAGCCATTTCCCTTTCAATTACTAAGAATTTTTCAAAATCATATCCAAAAAGGAGCACTTTTATTAGAATGACTCAAAAGACAATTTGCATGTCTGCAAATTGAATAGTAGTAGTGTTGGGTTTAACAGTTTTCAGATATAATTCTATCCTATGGAATTATGTTTGAACCTCTGACTGACAAAAGAACCTTTTAAACAATACTCCTTTATCAGTCAAACCAAAAAGCATTTCAACCATGAAAACTAGGGTCTTGAGATTTATAACCAAAAACTCATGTGTTGACTTTTAAGTATTACTGAAAAACAGTATTACAAATTCCTGCACATACTAAGTTTAGAAATATTCCGAAATTTTTCCCCACTTCAATATTAACTTCTAAGGCCCATTTAAGGAAGAAAAAAAAAAAAAAGAAAGAAAGAAAGAAAGAAAAAAAAAGATCCTTCCTTCAAAACAAAAACATAGAATGATGTCTTTATTAATGGTGAAAAACCCAGATGTAAAGCCTGCATTTCCAATCTATTAAATTTTACACAGCATAATAGAGCCTAAGTTAAAGTCATGTTTCAAGGAAATTATTCAAGCCATTCTAACATTTTGTACATTGTAATATTAAACTGTAAGCAGAGGCTTATGTTTTTTTTACATTACTTCTTCCAGTGTTAGTTCCAAAGATTTCAACAATTATGTTACATGGTGCATTACACACACCAGAATTTTTTTTATCAATGTGATTTTTTTCTTGCTCCCTAAAACAGCATGATGCATTTTTCTGAGTTAATGAGGAAAGAACTAAATTGCATTTTACCATGATCAGAGTGTAAAATCCTTTACTATACAAATGTGTATCACAGTTTAAACCATTACTAAACCTTTTTGTTCTTGATATCAATGAAGAAAAAAACTAATCCTGCTACAAAACCACATGAGATGTGCGTTTTTACTGTAAAAAAAGCCAAAAATCTCAACTAGACACTTGGTCCAAGAAAGAATGTTTATATTGAGATTTTTCTTACTTATGTGTGATTTAAAGTACTTCTTTCAGATCTAAAGGTTTTTTTTAACAGCATTTAAGATAAACTGGTGTTATGCTACTAAAACTTTATTCTAATCAAACAAATTTCACTCAAGAAGGAAGTGTATTAGAATCAAGAACTTTATTGGAAGGGGAAATAGTCAAAAAGAACAAGCAGCAGCAGGAATTAATCATCTGGTTTTGTTGTAGTCAAATACAATTCAGAGCAGAATTTTCATTTTTTCTCTAAGTATCGGTTAGTAAAAGAAAGCTATTTTAAGAAAAAAAAAAAAGTAATACATTTAAAAAATTCCAGCTCCGATTATCTTATAAAAAGTTGGCATGATTTAAAAAAATGATTTGTTTTGAAAAGCCATTGTTCAACTAAGAAAACCAGATGTGCTGTCCCCAAACATAGCTGATAAGGTACTCCAAGGGCCACCAGTATAACAAAACACAGTTACAGAATCTCACATTCCAAAAATAGCATTCAGGTACACCTGGGAATTCATAAGAAAAGTTTACAGACAAATGAAAACTATGGGGGAAGGGGGAGACTGTTCAGTTAAACAAGAGAAAAACTACAGTTTTTACAGTTTTACAGTTAGAATCCTTTACGTTTGTATAGTACTTTGTAATTCTCATGATTCCTTGTGATTAAAACAAAATAAAGTTGTGCTTTTTCCTACCCCATATGTAATTAACGCGCGCACTCACACACACCCTACTTTGGTCTAGAATTCATAAATCAACCATGCCAATTACAACAGAGCACACAGCATAGTAGGCAGCACTTGGAATCTTACTAACGTCGTTGTGGCTGATACTCAGTTTTTTCAGAAATGATCCGCTATGATCCCAAACACTCTTTCATGAAAGTTTGACCATCTTTAAAGTCTAACCCGGACAGGCACATCTTGCTGGTTATTTAACTCTGGCGGGGGGGGGTAGTTGGGGGGGTGTTCCTGCCAGGATGGGCTGTGAGGCGGCAACCGGCTTACACCCACCTCGGCAGGCATCGAGCTGGCTCCACCTGTCCCGCAGCAGGCGCCCACCTGCCCTCCAGGGAAGGACAGGAGTTCTCAAGGCGTCACCTAGCGCTTCTCCTAAAAGAACCACCGTAAGGGGCTCCTACCCTACCCCTCCACTCCCGGGAAACAAAGGTTCAGGCCCTGCGGTGTCCCTCGGCATCGCGTTCTGGACAACCTGGGCGCACGATACACCCCGGCACGAAATCGCCGGCAGAGGATGGAGCGCGGGACGTAATTAACACACGAGGGGGGCGGGGGGAGAAAACGCGGAGAACTCGGCGAACTCTGAAGTTCCGCGGGTAAAACGCGGTCTCTCAGGAGACCCCACATTCGAGGGAAGGCGCGGAACGGAGAATGTGAGAAAGCGAAATCTCGGGAAGAGGAAGAGTCCAGAAGTGGCCGCGGGGACGACCCGGGGGTGGGGGGGCCTCCTGGCCCCCAGAGCAGCAGCGCCCGGCGCCTCAAGGCGGGGCGGCGACGAGGACCCCGGCGCTCGGCCGCCCGACGGCTCCGCGAGGTTTCAAACGGCCGCCCCCGGGAGGCGCTCAGCCGATTGGAAGTTCCACGACGGCCGTCACCAGCCCAGGGCCCGCGCGGCAACTCCGCGGCGGGGCTCCCCAGCCCTCCGCGCCGCCCCGGGAGACCAGACCCCCCCCAGCCCCGCCTCCCGCCGAGGTCCCAGCTCGAGTCCCGCCGCCGGCTCCGAGCACGCGAGGGGCGCCCGCCGGGACGGGACCGCCGACCCCGGCCCGGCTGCGCCGCGGGAGTTGGAGGGGCGCGACGGGGCCGCGCGGGGGGCAGGCGGGACCGGGCTTCCCCGGGGCGCCCCGGGACGCGGCCCCGCTCCCCTCCCCCGCCTCGCCCCCCCGGCACGGCCCGCTCGGGCGCGACCCACCCATCCTGCGCGGGCGCGGGCAGGGCGAGGACCCGCGCGAGGACCCGAGCGAGCTGCTCCCCCGCCCCTGCTCTTACCCATCTTTCCGCCTCGCCTTGTAGACGTGCCCGTAGGTGCCGCGTCCCACTTTGCACCCTTCGTACTCAAACAAATCCTCCACCCGCTCCCGCTCCGCCGCCAGCTTCGCCTTGAAATCATAATCCATTGTCTGCTTCCCCCATAGAGGCACCGGGACGCGGGGGCCGCCGCCGCTCAGTCCCTCCTCCTCCTCCTCCCCCCGCGACCGCCGCTCCACTTCTCAACAGCCGCCTCTCGGGCGCGCGCGCGCCGCCCGCCGCCCCGCGGTCTGCCTTCAGCAAGGGACTCCTCGGCGGCCACGGCAGCCACCTCCTCCACCTCCTCCTCCTCCTCCTCCGCGGCGGCAGCGGCAGCGGCTCCCGCAGGCAGCCCCAGTCCCGCCTCCCCCTTTCATTTCCTTGTTTTGGAACCTGGTGGGCCGCGCCGCCGCTTCCTCGAGCTCATTAACAAACCAACCCGCCCGCCCCGAGATCGCGAAGGCTCCTGGGAAATGTAGTTCCCGAGGCCTCAGCAAGAGTAGGCGTTGTGCCAGAGTATGAAATACAGCTCCCAGGTTGCCTTGGGCCGCTTCAGCCTCGCCCCCTCAGGGCATGCACGCCTGCGCAGTGGGGCTGCCCCTCCCCCTCAGGTAGCTCTGGACCGCCAGTTCCTGTGGAGGTAGAAAGCTCAAAGTTATAGGGCGTTTTCTGTGAGCCCCTGAGAGCTGATGGAAAGAAGCCCCCGGTGCCGGCATGAAGGGGGCACGCCACCTCCGGTGCCCCCAGGCGAGAAAGTATTTGGCAAGCGCTTGCCCCGAAGTTTGCGCTAGTGGTTTGCGAGACGGGCACCGCGGTTGGGACAGTTGTATTGTGGAGGGTTTGTTTTTCATGGCTATTGGTCCGCCTGTTGCCCCGCCCCCACCCAGCCGCTCATTGGCTGAGACTGGAGAATGACGTTCTCGTCGGTGCGTGGGTATCCCCAGGCTTTGGCTTCTTTCCCGCTCTTGATTGGTTATTGGATGTGCTCGGTCCTTCCTGATAGGTCAGTCCTTTTTCTTTACGATGCAAAAACTGCATTTCAAAAGCTGAAATCTTGGTTTCCTAGTTTCACCATCGGTCTGAGGAGGACGTGAAGCGCCGAAACCTAGCAGCCAGTCACCATTTCTTAGCGCTTTAGGGGGTTTTCACGTTCAAGCTTTGGCCATCTAAGTGTCTGGAAGATGCAGCGTTTTAAAACAAATCATTTGAGTTGGAATGTGTGGGTTTTTAAGGTTTACGTATGAAGGTGAGGTGGTCCTAGAGTATTGAAGGAAGCCTCGTTAATCAAGGTGAACAGTGGTCGCGTAACGTGGCAGATAACTTGTAATACAAACTTAAACATGATGCTCAGGTAGGATTTATATGCCACATTCAGTGGAAGCACATGGGAAGGTAAATGACGTGGTAAGGTGCTTTCAATGGGACCTGCCTGCTTGGTGTTGGAAGAAAAGTAAAAGGAAGGGGGAAGAATGATTTACTTACATCACCTCCTCGGAAACTTGCTCAGATGGTGATGAAGTCAGTCAAAAGTAACGGAGTTCCTCATTTCCAGGCACTATGGCAAGCGCCAGAGATCCTAAGTGAAAAATGGGCCTTTTCTCACCAAGGAACTAAAACCGATTGAAGAACTAGACATGCAACTAAATGAAAAACAAACTGTGTAGGTGTAATGAGCAATGAATGGTAGGCCAGGAGGACATGGAGGAGTCAGGGTCGGCTTCACAAAGGAGGAAGGATTGAGCCAAATTGTAAACAATGAGTAGAACTGTATTTGGAGGACAAGTGGGAAGGTAGGGAGCAAGGAATTTTTCAGGGAGAAAGGCCTGGGCATAACATTATATATTCTGAGAAATGCAGCTAGGTTGGTCATTATGTTACAGGGCAGGGAGAGGGGCAGCCCAAACCACAAACCTGCCTATTCTATATAGGGTTCTGCCATCCGCTGCATTAACACAAAACATGAGACTTTAATGGGAAGGACTTTAATACAACTAGGAAACAATATAGGAAAGGCAAAGAATCTAGTTTCTAAATCAAGCACCCAAAGTTACCGTCCCCTCGTGGGTAAAACTCCATCCAAATGGGATTGGACCAGAGCAAAGCCCCAAAGCCTGCCACAAGTCTAAAGCATCTTCCAGTGGGGACCCACAGAAAAGGGTCAGAAACAACCAGACAAGCCTGGAAGGAAGAGAGCAAAATCAAAATCAAGATAAAAGCTGCCATTGTCACCTCCCCACGGGTCTCACCCACATCTGTGTCACCCAGTCCACGACCAAAAGACAAGCACAGTTTCTTCACGTGTCTCTAGGCTCCATGTGCCTCCTCCAGGTCTCCTTCTGGCTCCATCCTGCTTCCATCCTCAGTCTACTCTGCAGCTTCTTCTCTCCCTGCTCAGCTCCACCCTCCCTTGGGTGGGGCAGGAAACCTGGAACCTCCCCCTTTCCTGGGGACCACCCTGTTACAATCTCCCCTTTTAATTTTTATTCCACCGTATCTATGGTGGCACAGATCTCAGGGTGTAGTCTTAGGAGACAGTGTTTTTTCAGGGTTACAATGTGTGTAAGAGAAGCAACAATTAGTCAACAGCATTGTCCATGAATGTCCAGTATGACAGTTTTCCATTACTGGAAAATAGTTCATTATCCAAGCCAAAAGGGAAAAAAAAATCTGGAGCATTAGCTAAAACAAGACAGCAAATATATCAAAATCACAGGGGAAAAAAATGTTAAAATTGGTTGAACTTATGTAAAAAAAAAAACAAGTTCTCTCAACTTTGATCGCAAATTGTTTCAACAGCATAGCAAAAGTTTGAAACTAAATCTACTTTTAAACCATTTTACCTATTTTTGCATAAAATCACAGGGCAGAATAACTAAACAGCAATTTTAGCTGGCTTTGTTGGAATACTCCATATAGGATCAGAGTGAATCGTTGGCATCCAGTCCATGTAGGCTTCAGGAACAAAGTTGATCTCATCAGACTCCACCTGGGCTTTCCTCTTCTCGAGGGTACCAGGACTTTCTCGTTGTCCGGGTTGCCCAGTCCTGCCAATGGAGGCAAGCTTCCTCACCTTCTTTGGAGGTCTCTGGAACCCTACAAACAAAGCAAACAGGTTCTCCAACCTCCAGATGTTTTTGATTTTTTTTTTTTTTGGCTTGAACTGATGACCTGTTTTTCCAGGAATGGAGGACCTTTGCTTTCCACAATGGACAAATACCTGGAGGGACTGGTTTACTTTCGCACTGGAACCCGGTAAAAATTTTCATCTGAGACTGCATCCCAACATCCATATATTTGATCTTCATCACCATGGAAATGGTGGCAAAAAGAGAAAGGGGGGAATTGTTAGGGGGAAAAGGATGTCCTAAAGCTAATTCCATACAGGCTTTGTAGACTCCACCCCCCAGCTCCAGGCCAAAGCCAAAAGACATTGGGAGAGACAAATCCCATCACCACCAAAGGGAAGATGGCTGGGACCTGAGGGTGGGGTTAAGCAGCCAGGTTTGGTAAAACCGGACACGTGGGCTTTGGAGAAGATCCCCCATTTTGGGTCTCCGCCAGCTCGCAGCGTCCAGCCAGCTCTGAGAGTGCCTTTGGGTTTCCAGGTTGGTGGATCAGGTAGGACGCATTAAAGACTTTATTTCCCTATTTTCTCCCTGAGTTGTACATTTCCTTAATTCCCTTTCCCTTGTAAATAAACCTTTTATTAACCTTTTGTGTGTGTCTGTAGTGGAGTATTAATAAGTCCCTTTTAAGAGCGCGGGTGAGGACCCACAGCCAGGCAACCCGTTTTATATCGGGGTTACACCGTAACAATTACAGCCTGAGGTAGGAAAGGGAGATAGCTAAAAAGAGACTAGACAAACAGAGGTCAAATTATGAAGAACAATATATGTCAAGATTTCCTCATTTGGTAAGCAGTAGGAAACCTTTATCACCTTGGGTGACCAATTAACGTAATCAGAGTTGTATATTAAAAAAATCCTTCGGACAATAGTGTTCAGAATAGATTGATGGAAGGTGAAAACAGTAAAGAAGCAGTAGTATCAGTGCTGATTATGAGAAAAAGGCAAATACCACAATTTACAAATCAAATTCAGCAGGACCTGGTCATTAAATAAATAGATTAAGGGACAGGTAATTTCCAAGATGACTTCGAAGTTGTTTACTTTTGCAATAGGTAGAACTGACCCATATGGCGCAGCAGACCTCTCCTGTCTCACCTGCTGCTCCCCTCAGCAGTGTATTTCAGTCAATCT